GAAGGATTCCTGTAGAGACTATTGATATTAACTGTAAGTTCTTTATTATACACTTGAGGGGGATGTTTTGACTTGTCCACATCAGACTGTAGCAGCAGGCAGTACCTAGGGTTCCTGTCTCTTGCTACAGTGAGGTTACATCGAATTCTTAGGCTCCAGCTGTGAATGAAGCTGGCATAACATAATGGGTTGGCTTAAATGACCACATTGGTAAAAAACTATCAAAAAAGAACAGAGCCAGGATTGGTGGGTTAATAAAGTAGAAGAAAAAGCATTTGTTTTTTTGTAAAATGCTTGCAAAAATACCTTTTTTAAAAAAAATATTTACTGGGGCAAGTATATGTTGAGTATTAAACTTGAGGAAAAAGAAAGAGATCTTAATAGTCATAGTCTTAAGATCATTGTGGTTATGGAGAATTTAAGTTCACTGTTAAATTATAAAACTATAAGATTGAGGAGACTATGGGACCAGAGTCTAGCTTTTTCCTAATATATAATGAGATGTGCAGTTATAATGATGAATTTTATAACAGTTTTTAATATTAGTATTTTGTCATGATCATGAGAGAGGTGTGGAGGTCAGATTCAGCTTTACCACTAATGTTGGTTTAGAAAGAGATCTTAATAGTTGTAGAGTCTCAAGATCATTGTGGTTGTGGAGAATTAAAGTTCAGTGTTAAATTATAAAATTATAAAAGTTACCTTTTTTCTGAGTCATTTGAGCAATACTAGAACAATCTGTTTTATTTGTAGGAAAAGGGCATAGTCTAAGGTGCTGGGGATAGACATGTACTCTACTATTTGAGTCCCATCCCTGGCTTCAGAAGAACCTTTTTTTTAAAATTTTGGGTCACAGTTTTGGTGTTCTATTGGGGGCCATGTAATTCTGGGGGTCAAACCCAGCCTCCTCCGTGCAGAGTACACACTTAGGCTGTTAGGTTTTTTCCTTGACCCAAAGAACATTTCTTGCTCCCAGGGTTTTTTTTTGACACTTATGTCCATGGTATGTGTAATGTTTGCCCTCGGGTTCTTTATTTTGGATTATGTTAACAGTGAACAAAGATCTCTTTTAAGCTCAAGTTACTAGTTAGTGGTTTGAGAGTATAGAAACCTGGGAGAATGGGATTCAAAATGATTAACTTTTGAGGGAAGCAGAAGAAAGTAGGAAAGAGAGCTCTGTATTATGGTGAGGATAAAACAGAAGCAAAAGTTTTATTTTTTGTTTGTTTGTTTTATTTTTTTAAATGAAGCAGCATTTGCAGAAAGGATTATGGAAACTGCTGACAATTTCTTATACCACAATTTTATCTAGAGTTTTATCTGATGGCTGATAATATAGAATTCTATTTTATGGGCTATCAAGTACAGCAATACATAGCTGTGATCTCATTTAAGCAACTTTGTTAGTCATCTGTATCTTAATTTTATAGACAATGAAATTGAGGCCCAGGGTTTGAAAATTACTTGTTCAAGTTCACATAACTGGTAAGTAGGGAAACAAAGGTGAGAATATATATCATTTGATTCTGAACTGATCTTTCCCCCTATAGCATATTGGGTAGGACAGAGCATTTATGTGTCAGAATCATTTGGCCCAGGCTTAAACTCACCACTTTTTTTTAATCACTGGACATGAGATAAAGTGTTCAGAATACCTGATTCTTCATCTGTGAAAAAGAGGGAATAACTGTACCTATCTGTAGGAAAAGCAAGCAGCTTAATGCCTAGGATATTGCAAGCAATCATCAAATGAATCTATATACCCCTGGGAAAAGGTTCCTCTTTATAAACCTTTGGTGAAATGAAAGTGAAACGATGATTCAAGGAACCTTTTCTGTTAAGTCAATGATACCATTTTTCTTTGATTTACTTTAGTTCATGAAAGTATCTCCTGTAAAAATGTGTATAGGGGTGTGTGTGTGTGTGTGTGTGTGTGTGTGTGTGTGTGTGTGTGTATGAATGTACCTGTGCATATCTTGGGGTAGTTCTGTAAAGTATACCCACAGATGCATGTGTTGGGGTACAACAGTGGTTCTCTTCCATCCTAGCTTCTGTGGAACAGGACATAGTAAACAAACATGGAACGTTTGTCTGCTGTAGATAACGGGAAAACAGGTTACATCTGTACATGTAATTCTGGTGGGCCTAACTCAGGAGACCCGGTGACTCATGGTGCCAGGATTGCTGGGATCAGACCGTGGTCAAGAACATGCGCCTAACCACTATGCCATCTCCTGATCCTCTGGACAACTCTCTTGACTATATACAATTATGGACACACAAATAGGATTCATTTTTGAGTATACTTTATTTACAATTTACTCATTCTTTCCTGAAATATTTTAGAATAGCCTTAATTAAAACAATTACATAAAATAATCTTCACTGTATTTATTACATAGAGCACAGAATAATTTAACACTTTATAAATATGTATCATTGATGCACAAATGGGAGAAGCACCCTTTGCCAAAAGCAGTACAGTAACAGTTGAATTTGGCTAGGTAGTACTTTAAAAAGTGACCATAAGATGGCGCTGTGGCCAAATACATTAAGTATATATATTTAAACATAATGTCCATCATTATGGCCTTTATTTCCTTTCTTTAAATATAGAAGAATCTACCATTCAACATAAAATAGAATAAGGTTGCTCTGTTTTAATAACATTGACTAGGAGCAAAGTCTTTTTATCACAGACTCATAAATCACCCAAGAACTCTGTTTCATGGGGAAAGGTTGGTTTTTAAAAGCCAGACTAATCAGAAAATCCCCAGACTAAATAAGGGCCCATAGGCACCATTTTATTTCATATCAGTCTGCTCTATGTAAGGATTATTATTATTCATTTCCCTCATAGAATTGGGTTTAAAAAAATCCTAAAAAGTTAGATCAACTTCCAGTTTAAAGAATTGATACCTCTGTTACATTTAAATCTGCTTGGACAGCAATGGAAGGTCATAGAAACATTAGCACAGAAATTCACATTTAAATTACATGATACAAACATGCACATGTTTTATCTTGCCTTTCCTCCATATAAATATATAAATAATAAAGTGCATGGAAACACATCTGTACATGAATACAGAGTTTGTTTATATACACTTAAATAGATACTAATGGAGAGAAAAAACACACATTTGTAATATATATAAGTCAGGAAACATCTATCAGGCAGTATTTGTTCATTCTGGTCAAGATTGAGGAGACTATGGGACCAGAGTCTAACTTTTTCCTAATATATAATGAGATGTGCAGTTATAATGATGAATGTTATAACAGTTTTTAATATTAGTATTTTATCAGTTATGGCATGATCATGAGAGAGGTGTGGAGGTCAGATTCAGCTTTACCGCTAGTCACTTACTATAATTTTAGAATTGAAATAAATACCTTTCACTGTGTATAAAAGGACATAACTAGGAGAGATCTAGTGCATTTGCAAATTATACGGTGACACTTCCCACATTACTTAGTTTTCAAATGTATAATTTTCCAGAAGACTTAGGGAAAAAATCATTTTTTATTTAATAGTGATGCTTCAGTCTGGTAGTCATGTATCTCACATCTATTCCAATAAGAATGTGCAAATTAACCTAGAGTAATAGATCAGAGTGAATTAGCTGCTAATCATCTCACTCTGTTGTAAACTTTTCTATAAAATATTGTATATTGGAAATTCAGGAACAGTAACAAATGAGTTGTATTTTAGGGACATAGAACATAAATTTTGCTCTCATCTTTGGTAGCCATAGGTTGGATCTAAGCTAAAGTAGTTATTTCTAAGTTTTCGATTTATGACTTCTAGTGATTATTCTCTCTCCTCAAATGAGTTGGTTTTCATTGACAACTAATCATGAAATTGATTGAATAACCTACTCTGAGAGCTGACCCAGACTTCTTTCTTTCTTCCTCACCAGCCCTGCCCCTGCCCCCAATCCACTCTCCCAAAGTTGATTCTTAACTGGTGTGGAGGAAATAAATTGAAATGACTTTCAAAATAAGTCTGTCGATGATTCTGACAAGGACCATTTTAATTTGGTCCTTCACTTTAAAGGGAAGAGCTTGGGGGCAGGATTGTGGCTCAGTGTTAAAGTACATGTTTTACATATGTGAAGCTCTGGGTTTGATCCCTGGCACCATGTAAACATATTAGGCAACGAATATCCTGTTTTGATTTTTATATTCTCTCCTCTAGAAAATATCTTCAGAGATAGTAAACACGCAAGAAATAACTGAAGCAAAGCTGAGTCAAGTTTAAGTAAATAAAATAGATTTATCTAAAAGCATCTGTTGATCAGATGGGTGCTAATGGGAAAGTCATCTGCACTTTACATCGATGTACGGACTACTGTTGTCAGCAGCCAGAAGCCCCATCTAGTTCCTCAATCCTGACACACATCAATACTGCTTAGTGGCTCAAAAGAGCACATGCACAATGCAGTCGCCAGAGAGCAAGCTACCAAGTACCTCTACAGTGCTGTGTAGAAGAAATTTTTAGAAATACATTGTTAATGTTAAATTGCCTTTTTGTAATTTACATAGTAGAACGCACACTAAACAAGACCACGTTAGAAATTGAGAATAAAGCACTAGTAGAAGAGAAAGTAGCAATAGGTCTTAAATAACATTTAAAGTATTTTTTGTTTACTTCTGAGAAGAATTCACTTGAAATGAAGGAAATGCCAGCAACTTGGTGAATATTTCAAGACTGCATTGGTGACAAAGCAGGAATGAAAAAGTTGTCAAGTATTTCATTTCATTACCTTAGCAATACACTATTCATAACACTTTTTTAGTATCTTTTGCTGTTGCTTAAAATATGTAACAATTCTCAGGAGAAATCTTAAGAGGCCAATATAGCTAACAAATTTGTCATTATTAGTAGCTATTTTTATTTACAGCAGCAACCAACTCATGCCAAACGCAGTAGCAAGGTTTCCACTTGAAAATATATATGTATATATTACTTTAGATTTATTTATGACCTCATTAAGTATCATAAAGCTCACAGCTGAAATGCTGTCAGAATGTTTTGAAGTGCACATCTTGTGGCATTTAACCCTGCTTTACATTGATGGAAGAAAATGAGGCATATAGTTATCATTATGGGCTCCACTATACTCATCTAATTTGACTCCTTTTCTTTCTTTTTCTGCCCTCTGGATAAATGAAACCTTGCTCAGTATGCCCTTTCTGGTTGCCATGGCAATGAGTATCACACACAGCTAACCTTTTCATTCACTATGTTGCTATTGTCCCCTGGAACATCTTCTGAAGGTTGTTTTCCTAGAGTAACCATAGAGCAGTCATTATCTGTTGATTTGGTGTCCTTGTTTGAATTCTTTTCTTGTCCTGTCTGGAGCTGACTATCAGACTTGTAGGCCAAAGCCGGTATAGTGTTTACTAAAATTAACTGTAATGGTTTTTTATTCTCCTTGTACTGACACTGAATATATCTCGAGAAAGCAGACCTATAGGTCTTATTGAATAGTGTGTACACTAGGGGGTTAACAGCAGAGGAGAGGTAACCAATCCAGACAAACACGTTGAGCAGGGCTCCGATGACATCCTCATTGCAGGATTCTTTGCAGATGACAGCCATGATATTGGTTATGAAGAAGGGGCACCACATCACCACGAACAGAAAGAAGACGATGCCCAGCACCTTGCAGGCTTTCTGCTCATTACTGATGGACTGCATAGTCCTCCTACCATAGGACCCTGGTTCCCTGTGGATGGACCGCTGAAAGAGCTTTTCCGAAGACAGGGAACTCTGAGGGAGGAAGCTGAAAGAAGATAATTTGGACCGTGTGCCAAGATCGCTCACACACAGAGTGGCTTCTTTCTGGAGTGACTTGATAGTCAGAAAGTAGGTGATCACCATAATGGTTAAGGGAATGAAGAATGACACAAAAGAACCAATCAGGACAAAGTTGTCATCAGCGAGTAAGCAGCTCCCTTCTTTAAAGACCTTGGAATCGTCCTGTAGTCCAAAGACAGGTATTGGCATAGATATACCTGGAGGTAGAAAAATGATATGGGATTATTAAGGAATTGAGTACATGAAGGGTACAGCATGGTACATAATGGTGGGTGTTCAAAGGATTTTACATCAACATTGGTTAAGAAGCTTAACATATACTTAAAGCATTGCTTTTGAAAGTTATTGATTTACTCATGGTTTAAAATACTATAGATATTTCTAGAGTTTATCTTTCCACCTTTATTCGTATAGAAAGGTGCATATATAACCTTACTTCACCTACTTCAAAAGTTTTAATACCATTTTTATGGTTCTCCTTTATTCCTTTCTGAAAGTATTTGGTATGTTTTAAATGAGCATTTAAAATTCCCTTAGGCTTATTTAATAAATACATATCAATCTTTATATGTTCCTACATAGATGATACTTTACTTATCAAGAAATGCAATAAATCACCCATGGACAGTAGAAATGGGGCCAGGAGGACTAGCCCACAGTTAGAAGTTTGTCACAAGTGAGGAAAGTGGGAGAGAGCAGTTAGGGCAGAGAAGAGACCACTTGACAATGATAGTTGGAAATGATCACTCTGGACAAGAATTGAGTGCTAAAAGTAGGTAAAGGGATATACATGATAACCTAACAGTATCTCAAATAATAATGACCAAAGGGATGGGGGAAGGAGAGAGAGAGAGAGAGAGAGAGAGAGAGAGAGAGAGTGAAACGAGGGGAAAAATTGGGGACATTGGCATTGGTGGTGGAAAGTGTACTCTGGTGAAGGGACAAGTGTTGAAACATTGTGTGACTGACACCCAATCATGAACAACTTTGTGACTGTTTATCTCATGGTGATTTAATTAAAAAAAGGAAAAAATCAATCTGACTTCAAGAAATATGATATTGTATATATTAAATCCTAAAATTCCCACCAAGTAACTGCTAAAAACAATAAACCTATACTATATTTAAAAAAAGAAATGCAACATATCTAACTCTTTTCTTGCAGTGTGTCTGTATTATAACATATTTATTAGTTAAAGAAAATAGAGACAGTACAAAGTAAGCATTGATGTCACTAATTAGAAATAACAGCTATTAACCATGTGGTACTTTTTATTTTAGATACACATACACACACTATGCATTCACCATACACAATTTAAAACAGAATTGGAATTCTATTTTATTAGCAGTTCTATAATTCTTTTTTTAAATCTAACTATATCACAAGCATGATTCATAAAAATGACTGTTTAAAATCATAAGCAAAATATGTTATTTTTAGAAAAATTTAAAAATCCAAAGAAAAATAATAGGTATTCTCAATAGTCACAGCCAGCCATAAAGCACACTTTCTGTAGTTTCTTCTTCCACATATGAACATATACATATTATCTTGAAAAAAATCCCAGACATCCAAGTATTCAATTTGATTTTTTTTTGCTTTTTTGGGTCACATCTGGCAATGCACAGGGGTTACTCCTGGCTCATACACTCAGGAATTACTCCCGGCAGTGCTTGGGGGACCATATGGGATGCTAGGTATCGAACCTGGGGCAGCCGCGTGCAAGGCAAACGCCTTACCTTCTATGCCATTGCTTCAGCCCCATCAATTTGAAATTTTTTGATTGCATATGCAATTTACTATGCATAGAAACTATGCTCTGGAAAACTTGAATTTTGCCCCCCAAAAACCTAACATTATACTGGTGGAAGGAGGTGGACGCTCTGGTGATGAATGTGGAGCTGGAATGTTGTGTGCATGAAGAGTATGGTTAACAGTACTGTAAATCATGATACCTCAATTTAAAATACTTCAATTAAAAAAATAACCCAAAAGTCTAATGATATCAGGGTAATACTCTTCTAGTAAAAAATTAATTACTTTTAAATATCCTTAAATAGTAAATACAGTGTTCAAATGTCCCACTAAAGTCATTCTATATTTTTTATGGGAGAGTATAAAGGTAGATTACCAAAACCAAACAAAACACAAAAGCTACCATATACTTTCAGTTGCCAAATACAAGAGTTAGGCACAAATTGAAATAATACATGGGAGCAGGAGTTCAGGGCCATTTGCTCTTTTACTTAAATTGGGGGCACTTGAAAGCTCCCTTAGGCATAGGACTTAATGCAGAAATGGAAGTAGAAGTAAGCAAAGCAACACTTAAGCTCTAACCATGTCCATTTCTTCTTCAGATTAGGCCCTTGTTGCAGGTACAGTATAGAGCACTGTCTTGCAGTTCGGGGGCAGTGGGAGTGTCATTCTCCCTAAGATGCACAGAAATGATCAACCAAGAAGGGAATAACTGGTGTGATGGGCAAAAAAGAAATGAATCAAATACTCTGGACTTTATTAATTTTAGTCATATTCTTTAATAAATCAGCTTCAGGTTGTTTCTTTTGTGAAAGGGTAGACTCCACAGAGGCATCCTGGAAGAAAACTGGAACAAAATTCCTTGCTCATGTTTTCCACTCTCCAATTCCCAGCACTGGCCCACATGCTAAGAGCCATTCTAGTAGACTGCCATCCCCTGGTGAGTACCTCAACCAAGTACTCACTCCACCAATGACAGGGAAGGGAAGGGCAAGGTAGGAAGAAGAACAGGAATGTTGGCAGAGGGAGGAGAGAAAGTGTTTGGTAATTGGCTGTAGAGATAATGATATTATTAACTTCTGCCATGGTGACAAAGGGTCTCAATAAATTTTAATTTTGTGCAGCTGGAACTGTTTATTTGTTTTTCTAAGTGATGAATTATTATCATTACTTTTAGTCATGATACATGCGAAATATCAGGTCTACCCCAAAGGTATATAATTTTGTTATGAAAGTTTTGGGTGTCTATTTTCCAGATTAGTACAAAGACAGTCATTGCCTTGAGCATCTTCTGTCCTGAGTATTTACGACCTAGAGACAATTATTAAGTAACAATTATTAACTAACCAGATTATGGACTCACTAAAACACCCAGTTCTTTAATCAGTTGGAATTCAAAAGAATGCCCTTGTTTTTGCAGAGAACACAAACACATCCTCTTCAGAATGTCTTAACTTATGTGCCCAGAAAGGGAAATGGTGGCTGGAATCTCATCACTGGTGTCATTCAGTTGCCTGGGATAAAGAGCCATGTAAAAGGTGGTGTGGCAAGAGGACACAAGCAGGCTCTCTAGAAGGAGAACCTTAAATTAGAAGGCAGGCTCAAACTGATGAGGCATTGTACTGGCCATATTCTCTCTCTTAAATGTAACAACCAAAAAATCTCAATTTGCCAGATGTCATTCTTTCTCAGTATCTCAAGATAGACGGTTAGCAAGGTTTGAAGAAAGAATAACTAGACAAAATGCTACATTATGAAAGAGGGAACATATTTTGTTTGGAGGCCACACCCAGCTGTGTTCAGGGCTTACTCCTGTCTTTGTGCTCCTGGGTGTCATAGTGATGTCGGTGATTGAAGCCAAGCGGACTGCATACAAAACAAGCACCCTATCTGCTGTGCTATCTCTCCATCCAAGGAGGAAGATTTATGATGTTCAAGAAGGACAGTTGGGGGGGGGGGAGGAAGAAGGACAGTTATATAGACTTTGAGGGTGCAGTAAGTAGTTCACGAACACGCTGCTACCAGGAGAGAGGAAGTTGCTGGCTGGCACCCAAGACTGAGGTCACAGCCATCTCTGCTGCATTTTCTGGCAGCTTTGTTTGATAATAGCTGCTTTTGGAGGCCTAACAGATTCTTTCACTTGAAATTTCTGCATATAAAGCATTTTTCCTTTATGAACAAATAGTAGCTTGAGCTCAGTGACTATGCACTTTGTTTATTGATTTTCTTTTAAGTGGGGAAAGCAGCCATCAAGATGCAATATCAGTATTGAATGTTTGAGACAGACAATTAAATGAATGAGAGACTTTGATGAATGTGAGGAACATGAAGGCAGTGCTTTGTGACTTGCTTTAGTTTATATCCTGCTTGTTCTCTTTTCCTCAGGTAGTATCCTACCTGACAGCAGCCTGGGAAAATGGTCTTAATGCTGAAGCACTGACTCAAAGACAAGCTTTATTCTTGATCCTGCATTTTCACACTTAATAGCAGGACTGGATTTACTGCTGAGACAGTATCTCCTTGAGAAACGCAAAGGTGAAGGCTGCTTTACTAGCTTGTGATTCTCTCCAGGGGCTCAGCTGGGGCAGGGGCACGCAAGGGAAAGAAACAGACTTCAGAGCTCCTCTGCCAAAAGAGCGGATTTGGGCTCAGACCCTAAATTTCCCCTGAAACTACTACTTTTCCTTTACATTTGAATTCGTGCTGATTTATTTCTTTTTTCCCCTCCAAATCATTGGCAGAAAGTACTACAAATGAAGACCTCAGAAGAGTCAGGCTGTGGGGAGAGAGATTGAATGAGTTCTAAGCCACTGCCACCTGGGGCTGGCACTCACCATCCTTCTCACATACAGTGTAAAGGTCAAGAGTTGCTAAATTCCTTAAATCTGTGATCTGCTGACAAGGCTGATGCTCTTAAAAGTGAGAGCTAGAAAAGCACACCAGTTACCCCAAAGATTATGTTTCATTTTAGGTTGATCCTGAATAGCTCTTCTAATGAATTATAACTTTATGATATACCTTTACATATGCCTACTCGTTATCAATTTTTTTCAAAATTGTAAAAGTTACCCCCATTGTAAGTGCCAAATGGGTAAACATTTTATTTTCCAGACACTTTCAGCAAAATGAAAAGACCTCCTAATGAACGGAAGAAGATATCCATATGTCATATATCAGGCAAGGGATTAATGTCCAAAAAACACAAAGAACTTGTAGAACTTGTAAAACACCACAGCAATCAACCCAATTAAAAAATGGCAGAGGATCTAAATACGTAATTTTTTTCTCTCTTTCTTTTTCTTCCTTCCTTCCTTCCTTCCTTCCTTCCTTCCTTCCTTCCTTCCTTTCTTACTTTCTTTCCTTCCTTCTTTTTTTCTTCCTTCCTTCCTTCCTTCCTTTCTTTCTTTCTTTCTTTCTTTCTTTCTTTCTTTCTTTCTT